TGTCGGACAAGGTTATGACAAAAGTCTACATAGTCTTCCCAATCCCACAAAAAAAGACAGAATTGTATCAGACATGGTTGTACAACTTTAAACTAACAGCAAATAGTTGCATCTATAGCAAGCACAAGTTGGTGTGTGAAGACCATTTTGAACAATATTGTGACGAGGGAGATTCGATGGTAATTATCCTTTTTTAATAACAAAATAACCTAGCAGTTCTGATAGCTATAGTTATCAAATCCTCATATGATAAGATCTCGTTGAATAAAAAAAATATAGATTTGATGAGGAAGAACAGTTTCAATTATAAGAAAGACAAATGCAGTGTTCTTGTAACAATCACTGATTTACAGAAGATTCATTAGTATGCCTCTTGTATATAAAGTCAGAGACATATATACACATGGAGACATATATACACATGTGTATATATGTCTGTGATAAAGTGCATTGATTTGTATAAAGAATAGTTCCGTATTTAGACAAGATAATTTTTCAATTAATAAAGTTATACGATATAAAAAACTTTTTTTTATTATGATATTTAACGGCTATTGACAAGGAGCAATGTTAGGAAGAGGTTTTAGCTGGGACATAATATGTTGATATAGTATAATATTCCCAGGTTTAATATAGATATGTAAATATCGAAATATCGGACATCTCAATTTTTTTTATTAAAAGTGTTTTTTTTTTAACTTATCTTTAAATTATATCAAATTGATACGGAATCAATTCGGAACGGTCAATTATAAAGACACTTAGCTTTTTAGTTAAATGTGTGTGACTATCTGGTATGTTCGGTGAAAAATTTATAGTTTTTTTTTTCTTTTTAAATTTTATTTACGTTATCTTATTATATATATATATTTTGGCTTCCTCCCGAATTGATAATAGGTATGTCAGAATTATTGATAGATGTCGTGTCAGAGCGACACATTCAGTTAGGTATTCCAAGGACGTATATTAGATACACGACCCTGGGTATTCCAGTGACATCCTGTCAACTGAAAATTCGTATTACACAATTATATAATACAGGTTCATGCATGGCCTCTTTATTGAGGTACCCGGTGTGCACAGGTAACATTTATTTGTGTCTAACGTTGTTTATCTTGTGTGTGTTTGAAATTATAATTCCACCTTTTAATGAATGATGTTCTGATGATAATATTATCCACTATTTTTGCTGATAATAAGTTTAAAAAAATTATAAACATGACCTTTGAACATTTTGGTAAAATGAATATAGTTTTCTCATGATTCTGGACCATATTTTTGAGAAAAAAAAAAATCTTCACGCAAATTCAAGCTTTTGTCGATTGGCAAACATGCAGATATATAAAGTAATGCAGCACTTATAGTCACTATCAATATTAATTCATTGAAGATAAGAGAGCCCCTTCTATGTCTAATGTCCCTATCTTTATAAGGATTAGGACGACAAGGAAAAGGGAGCGGAGTTAGAGTGGCATAGTGAAAAAAAAAAACCAAATAGAGAACAATATAGAGAACGATCGACGAAAAGCGAAATAGTTATTGTAAAGGAGCGGAGATAAAGAGAGGCATAATGAAAAAAATGTTTGCTTGACAAAGTTATTGCTCGCTTTGATATTTTTAGTTATACAAAATCACACATCGTGTTCCTAATTGGTATTCACGTGCACTAACTTGATGCTGGGAACAGTATATTAATATATATGTTCCTGCTTGATGTGTTAAGTTTCTGCATAGCATGGTTAAAAATTAATTAGTATCCCATTTGTTATATCGTAGTGTCACGGTCTTACTTTGTTAAATTTATTTAGTTTGTTAATGATTGTGTAAATAAGAACAAATCTGTATAAAAACTTCATACCATTTTAGTGATTGCCTATAGGCGTTTGATTATTGTTACATTTAAGATATATATATATACATTTAGAACCTTTCATACATCTTAAAGTAAAAGATGTGTGTCAGAGTTAAACGACACAAGAACCCTGTAATACTAGTACGAGAGTATAGCATGTAAACATTCCTACTCATAATGGTTGTATTGGAAATCTTTTCATACAGATTGACAACTCATGGTCCGACATGCATGTAATATTTTCCACATGACGCTCATAGTTCTTTCTACCAGCATCATCTTATTCATTAAATATTGCTGTAAACATCGATGGTCCACAACCAAACAAAATGGGAGTAATATACCTTCAGATCTTCTCCGTGGTATACACTTGTGAAATATATAGACGAAATTCGGTATTGAAGTAAATCTACATCTCACAAACACAATTTTTGAATTACGATTTTGAGTGAACACCCACCAAACCAATACAAACGTACTGCAAGATATAACCATGCAGGCATTTAGTTTTCGTCAGACACAAGATAAATAATGACTCTCATAAACGTGTATATGCATGCAGTTTCAAATATCAAGAACAAGCGGTCGATGTCTATGGATCTTTGTTAAGTCCGTTTACTAACTGTTCAGAGTCAGACATGTCAATAGTTCATTCTTGGAACGGCCTTCATATACCCCATCCGACGATGGGAACTCTTTCTAATAGTGTTGACAACATAAGCTTGTTTATCTGTACAAGTGGTTGTATGGCCTCTCCTGCCCCAACAAACAAATACGCTACTAGTCTGCTATCTCTGGAGCTCATCCTCAATGGCGCTTATACGTCAGGAAACTTACAAGTATACTAGTAAAGATTGTTTCAAGAACAACGAGATTGGGACGAACTGATCTAAAATCGTCAATATCAGTAATATACAATACTAAGAGATGCCCATTTAATTACAACAACTGTATTACTAATTTGGCTTAATGACGGCTATCCTAAAAAAAATCCTCAAACCAATTAATGTATTAGCTTAGATTTATAATGTATGTATATTCATTAATGAAATAAACGATAATTGGTATTCTTTTCACAAATAATTTGTCTAAGTGATTGTCAAATGAATTTAACTATGTAAGAATGAAATGTTAATAAGAAAATTAAAAAAAATCATGCATGTTGTACTGTTGTATTTTTTTCAATTAAAAACTTTAAAATTGCGATAGTTTTACGATTGTTAGCATTTAAACATCGCCAGATTTAAATACAAGTTAAAGAATTCCGGTAAAGTAAATTAAACAGATGTGCAATGATTATTAATTGGGAAATGTAACATTTAATTTTTAAGATTAAAAGTACTATTCTTTTAACTTCATATCTTAACTTTATGCTAATTGCATAGAACGTAACCGAAAATTGTTCCATTTTAATATTGTAACACTTCCGGAATTAAAAAGTTGATATTAATTTTCAATCAATTTATACAATTTAATTATTGTTTCTCTATTGTCATCGGGTATTTCATCTGGGTATATTAAACACGCTATACTCTTTCTGTTAATTCATTCAAAATGACAATATTCACACCTGTGTACGCCTGAGGCTAAATTGCTGCAAGGTAAAGTTCAAACGAATTCTCCTCAAATCGAGAAATAAACAATGACTTTACAAAATTATATACACACTCTGTTCACAAATATTTTGCATTGAAATGGTTATCAAAGTTATAACGGTAAATAAAACTTAAAATATTTTCAGTTCAATATCAGTAAAAATGTTCTATAGATATTTTATGAAAAAATCTCATTAATTTTTGAAATTAATTCGAAAATATTTATATTTAAAGATAACTTCATATAGGAAGTTTTATTCGATCAATACAAAACGGTACACACATATTCATTTTCTTTCATTCTTATATTGTGGTTATTAACTACGACCAACGGTCATCTGTGCGCTTTTAATTACGTAAAATTCTGATAAGCAATTAAGACTTTAACAGGTTTTATTTTTTCCCATGATTCAACAATTCGGGTTAAAACGTCACAACCCAGTGACGTAGGTCAACCAAAAAAGTTACAAATACTTGATTTTCTCCGTTATTAGAAAGAATATAAATTTAAAACTTTGTGAATGTGTTTTTTATGTTAAGATGAATATATTTAGATGATAAGTAAAAAATCGCGGAGTTTCCCTTTAAGGTGACATAGTTTAACATTATCTTTTTTTATCCATTATCCATTCGTTTGATGTGTTTGAGCTTTTGATTTTGACATTTTATAAGGGACTTTCCGATTTCAATTTCCCTTGGAGTTCGGTATTTTTGTTATTTTACTTTTTATATCAAATGAAAATTTAAACAAATCGACTTCAGTGCAAAAAACATAACGCACTTCATTTTCAAAGGACAGGTACTATGGGACATGGATTTGAATCGTCAAGGCAACAATTAATGTTAACATGACTTCGCAGGATTGATGGATAAACAATCCTTCAAACGCATCATTTTCTTATAGAAATGTTTGTTCAGAAAATAAAATTATCCTTGTGAGCTTTTCTTTCTTTTTAAAAGACATTTGGTTAAATCGATCTTTTTATTTGACAAGAAATGTGTTGATTATTAAACATATAAAAAGTTAATTTCTCTTCTATAATGATATATGTATCATGAGATTTGTACATCCGTATACTAGTACTTCTGTGCAATTGATTTACGCCATTCTTTCATATAGTGTTGTCCAATAGTTAGTTTTTTGTTTAACAGTGGTTTACTTTTCTAATCTCTCTCATAGATTTTTCTTATGACTTGGTATAATCTACCTTCTACATGTATGAGTTATGATTTTTCCCTTGGAAAAGAGTGGCGAAAGGTACCAAAGGGACATTCAAACTCAAGAGTCGAAATTAAACGGACAACTCCATGACTATTTAAAACTTGAGTATATAGACACCCAAGCAGATTATTTGCATTGATTATGCCATATTTATCATTATAATTCATTTTTAGGGATGTGGACATTCATATTACCATGACGTATATTTTTGTTTTTTTTCAGTTTGTTTCTGCAGTTGGAGACACAATTCTTAGTCATTCTATCGTCATGTTGCGTTTAAGTAGTTGTCTCCTTCTGATTCGAGTTCGCATGACGAGCTATATGAAGAGACTACAGGTCTTGTTTTTTTTATTTTTGAAAGAGATAGTATACAATAACATTAAATGTATCAAAGTTACTGTACCAGATGCACATTTCGACATATATGTCTCTTCAGTAATGCGCGAAGCCAAAATTTTCAAAATTCCAAAACCTAATAAAAATTTTGTAGAGCAGATATAACCGAAAAGTACCTACAAGTAAATTCAAGTTCAGGCGAAAGCCGGAAATACAAATAACATGTATGAATTAAAACCAAAAACTGTCTTAAAACCACATAAAAATCCCTCAAAATAATCTATTACATTTTAATAAGGTTTCTAGAATACAATAACTATGATTTCACCACAGACCTATCATGTTTCTCAATCAGAACTCAGGAGCCTCTGGCCTTGGTTAGTCTTGTATGTTTTTTAATTTTAGTTCATTCATATGTTTTGGAGTTTAGTGTGACGTCCATTTACACTGAACTAGTACACAATTTTATTTAGGGGCCAGCTGAGGACCACCTCCGGACGTGGATTTTCTCGCTGCGTTGAAGACCCAATGGTGACCTTCGGCTGTTGTCTGCTCTTTGGTCGGTTTGTTGTCTCTTTGACATATTCCCCATTTCCATTCTTACTTTTATTCGTATTATTGTCTCGGTGAATTTAGCTATAAAATCATCAAGATTTACCTCTTTCCTTCACGTACATCTCTAGTAAATCTAATTAGTTTTTAACTTCGTATCACAGTTCAGCTTTCATTTATACTTGCAGGGACGATGTTTTGATCGAATGAAATTATTTACAATATTTTCAATATGAAAGCATGCTATACGAAGTTGGTAATATTACATTGCTATATATACATGTATATATAAAATCGTGAACGCATTATCGGTCCCATTGCACATTTTCATTTCAACAGTGTCCTAAACACAATTTATGACAACAATTTATATGTGTATTTCCGATACAGGAATTTGATTCCAGTGTCTTTCGTTTTTTTGAGTCAATATTATTATTAATAAAATGCCGATGACCAAAACGCAAACAAAAGTGACTAAAACAGGCAAAGAAATAAAGTCGGTTAAATACTGTTTAGCTTTTGATTTCTTTGGTACCTTTCCTTTTTTTATTTGGATGCCTGTAAAAAAATTAAAAAATAACTATATATATCCTTGTATTAAAAACGCTATTTTTTGTGTGTTATTTTTCCATTAAATATCAATTAATATTTTATACAAAAGTTTTAGGAATGAACCATATATCCCAGGTAAAATTGTGGTAAACAATATCAATGTCTTGTGTGTTTGTGTTGTTTGGTTTGTCTTATTAATATATTCCCTTTATGTCCTTTATTTCTATTTTAACAAACAAACAAAAAAATAAATCGGATTAAAAATTTCCTGTCATAGTTCTTACTCGTGAATGTTACTGGTTTTCAAATGTTCCTGTTTGTGATATATAATATGTTTTGGAAGGGATTACTCTATGCGAGTCTGGTATGTTACCGTTTTTACAATAATCCATGATATGTTTTCATATGTTCTTGTCTGTTTTGAAATTCATACGTTTCACACAATGTGTGCATGTTTCGATGGATGATTTGTAAACAAAATCTGCTTGATTCCAGTCGTTCTTATTCCGTCAAACTATTTGATATTAGAAGACGTTATTGTACATCATTAGCGCGTTTGTTGGGCATAAAAACTACGCCAACGGATGAATATCATAATTAGATTAATTTTCAAATCTTAAATATGATAAATCATAAAACTAAAGTATTCATGTAAGTATGGTTGAATCATGTGCATACGAATACAGAGATGCATGTAGTAATTTCAAGCAGTCACAATGAGCTTGTATATAAAAAAAAATGCGGATAATAAGTTTACCCAAAAACTATTAAATGACATCTAATATGTTTAGTAAAGGAGTTTTTCTGCTGATGTTATTAATCACTCATACAGTATCGATACGTACTTGATAAATGTATTACTTTACAACCACTGCCACAAATTGTACAAGAAGGTTTAATCTGTAATGCAATAAAAAAAAAGAATACTTGAATAGAACATTTTTTTGTAAATATTCATTATAATCAAGGAAGAAAAAATATTAACATAAAAAAAGGTTTAAACAATTGAAACAGTACTGCAATAGAGAAGTTATTTACTTTTGGTGTTTAGAAATATATACACACTGCATAACGTTTGACATAATATCATTCACGTAAAAACATGTATGTGGGCAAATGTCCGTTAAAAATATCTTTTTGTTAAGTAGTTTATTAGATTTTTCAAATTAATTGACTTAAATGTTTTTATTTTCAGAATCTTTACATCTGATATCATGATTAGGTGCAAACAATTACGAAATGGAAATACCACTTATATAAAGTTATTTAAACTTTACAGATTGCACGGACTTTTTGCGATCTGGTCAATAGGTTTAGTATACTTTTAGTTTTGTAAAAAAAAATATTTATACTGTTTCATTTTATGTATTCTTCTCATTTTGCTTCTATGTTATGTGTAAATTTATGTGTATTTGTCGCTCCTGTTACGCAGGAAATCTGCGTCTGGGTGTATTTTGAATAAACAGTTAAACTGGTTTTATGCCCTCGGTATAAATCAGGTAAATAAATATTGATATTGATAAATGTCGTGCGTCCGAAGAGCTTTTCCAGCTTTGCCTTCAACTGAAACGCACAAACCAGAATATTTGAAAGCCAGGGATGTAAACAAACGAAAAAGATTAAGAGCTATATGTCCAAAATGTACCGAAGAAGAATAGCCAACTTCATCAGCCATCTTATAATAGCGTCGAATACCATCCTCCCAGTAGCTAGTGCTTCAGTATAGAAGTTATATGGTATATTTTGTCCATAAAAATTCAGTTCATACAATAATATAATTTCATATGGTGAACCAACACCTGGAGTTGATAACGAACCATGACGACAAATAAACAATTACTTTACGGTGACTTTTGAGTGTTGTTGTTTTTAATGTCGATTAATAATATAATTAATATACCCATTTGCTACTCCCTTTTGCAAAGTTTACCATTTATGGTTTTGTTCTATTCTTTTTTACGTTTTTTTATGTTTTCAAAGGTTACCACTAGCCCAGAAGTCAACACTTCTGTGTTGATATGAAATGTCATCGATATGGTCATATTTATAAATAATAAAATCTTTGAGTACGTTGTTCGAAATACTAAATATTTTCTACTCGAATAATAGATAACCTTAGCTGTGGCAAAATCTTTCGGATGTTTGGATCCTCAATGCTCTTCAACTTGGTACTTGATTAACCTTTTTAACTTTTTTTATTCAAGCGTCAATGAGAGTTTTTTGTAGACGAAATGCTCATCAGGCGTTAAAAATTACAAACCTGGTATCTTTGATGATATTTTTTGCACGTTTTTGACTTTCCAAGCTTTTGGTTTGGAGCATACCTAATAAAACGTTTCTTATAAACACTTGTATATGCATGGAAAGCATATCTTATATGATTTTGGTTTTTATCTACTGTTAATTATACTTACTTTAATGCTATATTTTCCTGCTATTTCTAACTCTTTAATCTCCGTTATAATTTCCTAGCAAAATGATAAAGAAATATAACTAGTCTGCGATATAAATATAATGAAATTAAAGTATTGAATTGAATAAAAAATTGTACATTATTCATTCTATGTTTTACTCTAGGTATACTTTGTATATTTTCCAGTCCATATAAGTCCTAGTAAACATTGTATTATTAAGGTCCCTATTGTAGGTCTTTTCACATTCAGGTTCGTTCCAATTAGAAAATTGCCTTCAGATTTACAAAATAGAGGCGAAAGATATCAAAGGGACATTCAAACCCATCAGTCGAAAATAAACTGACAACTCCATGGCAAAAAAAAGAAAAAGACCAAAAGGTAAACAACAGTAAACAAAAAACGACATAGAAAAGTAAGTACTGAGCAAAACGAACCCTACCAAAAAACCGCGACTGATCTCAAGTGTTCCGGAAGGGTAAGAAGATCCTGCTCTACATGTGGCACCTATCCTGTGGCTCATGTTAATATTGAATAAAAAATTGTTCTCTTCTACAAATTGAATAATTCATTACTGTACGACGTAACAAGAACGAAACCAAAATCGTGACAACAGCAAATGGACATTTCTCTCAAGTAATGATACGACTATAGTGTCCGTATACAACTACTGTACTAGAAGAATACATGCTATATCAATTTCAAAACGACAAGAATTGTGTGAGTCTTTAACATATAATTTGTGATCAGAAAGAGCCTTGTTTATTCCCATTATTATTTTCGATAAAAAAAAACAAAAAAAAAAACAAACAACAAAATTTGATCCCTGTGTGAATAGTTTAAAATTGAATAAATCAATGATTATTTTCACATACCTGATCATGAGGCACGAGTATTCTTTCACTGGTATACAGTTCCTCATTTAAAGTTGAAATATTGACAACTGTGTAGCTAAAAGAAAGGGTCCAAATGTCTTTACACTCTTTAAGAAAATGCGTACATAAATAGTTAGCTTGAACTTTTAATTGTGTAGTATAATATGCATCTAATTTTGCCTCCAAGCAACTGCAGAAACAATCTGAAATACACAGTAATACGTCATGGCAATATAAATGTCCACATACCTACAAATGAATTATAATCATCAAAACAACGCATTTGTGACATACGGATATGTATAGCATTATCAATGGAAATGATCTGCTTGGATGTCTTTATACTAAAGTTTTAAATAGTTACTCAAAATGTGATCCTTTTACGTAAAAGAAAGATTTACGCTACAAAATGTACTCCAATTGACTTATATCTGATAGTTCTAAGCAACATATGAATATGAAAATTATATTATTCTATAACACGTTTGACTCCTACTTATTTGTAAGAAATTATGATAGAATTCGAAATTTTAGCAATGTGATATCCGACATTATGTTGTTCACCTGACATCTAACTGTCAATTTAAAGTTTTATCAATTTTAATCAGTGCCCAGTCTAAAGTCTATCGATGTTTTCAAATGTACTACACATAAAATTTACACATATCCTGTGACCAATCGACCATCAACTATTTGTCGTTAACACCCCATGCCTTGTGATAAAAATATATGCTCCTTTTAAAAGTCTTTTTTTGTTTTTTGTATAACAATATGCATTACAGCTAGTGTTATTCGTTTACTTAGGATAAACTTTAAAAAAAAAAAAAGAAAAATTTGCAATAGTTTACACTAAAACAGTGACAGACTAATTTGAAGACTAGGGAAATTCAGTACAATTTCATATAGCATTGTAATTAAAGATAAACATGTATGTAATTTACCTTTCTTAATGGCCTGGTTCATGCAGTCTGTACTAGAATCGAATGAACATTCACATGTCACTGATTAAAGTAGAAAAAGCAAGGTTGAGATATTTTTTAGTGATAATTTCGACATAGTTAGTCTCGTTACTTTTTGGGTTCGTGTAATTCCCTCAGTTTTTTTGGTTATTTTAGCTTGATTTATATACTCCTTTTGGTATTCATTTAATGGATTTAGATGATTTCAACACCGATAGCCTACTAAGTGCCTTTAATTTATTTGTCGGTTAAAATGCCATCGCATAAAGTTTTGTTTACAGATCATGAGCAATATCAAAACTTTACAGAAACAGTTGCTTATGTAAGATGATTGCTTCTTTGCAGAAGAAATATTATGGCACTCTTGACTTGTATAAAACAAATTTTAGATTGTAAATTACTTACGAGAATACATGAACGTTATATTTAGTCTTAAGTATAAGTTTTAACTTACCATCTAATATCAATGTAACACTGACAAAAAATCTCACAAGACAGATCAATGTTGAATGCATGGCCATATCTGTAAAGTATGTACAATTCGTTATAAAGTGCAGTCAATAAACAAAAGGAATGGTGCAAATGCATTAAAGATTGAGGTTGATTGATTATTATTAGCCTAACTTGCCGAAGAAAATATTTCATACATATTCAGGGTAAAAGAAAATTAAAACTCAGGCAAGAATGGAAGGTTCAGTGCTCTCAAATTTGGTTGGTCGAGAGAACAGGGATAAGTTGTGACTGTAACTAGACAAATTTTGCGAAGTATGGCAGAAATTCTGCCTTGCAGTAAGTCAAAAATGGTGCCTTTAATTGATTATTGCAGCTGGATGTGAATGTGGAGAACGCATGGCACTCTTCCAAAACGGGACAACCTTTGAACATGACTGCGAATTTACACATAAAGGTCGTCTTAACAGACATACTTTTAGCATAGGGCATACTTCTAGGAGGAAAGTTTCAGGTGACCAAATGTCATACCAACATTTGAATTTCCGAACAAACTTGCTTTTTATCTTCCATAGATTAAATACCACATCAACAATTAGTTAGATTTGTCTTATTGCTCACTGGAAACGCTACATGTTATTGCTAATTTTGATAAAAATTTACAGCTCAGTTTGTACTTGTCAATTGAAAAAAAAAAAGACAATACTATGACATGAAAAAATATAAAACGTCTTAAGATCTTCAACAATGTATGGCACAAATACCAGATTATTTAAAACAAACAAGTAATTAGGATAATCACTTTATGCGTAAGCATCTAACAAATTTGTTGCTTTTGCTTTTTATTCTGCAGTGTAAAGAATACACAAATAAAAGTACCTTTTTAATAAAGCTGTACTTCTTTTACCTTGAAAACGATTTTATTCATATTTTAGTATACACGGATATCTAAATTGTTTGCTTCTCGTGAACATAAGGAAAGCTTATTTTTCATATCTCCACTTGTTTTATTTTGAAGTTTTTAAGGGAAACAACTCATTTTTAGAATCTGTATCTTATTCTATACAAAGCGGAACAGCATGGTGTATTGTGAGAGATCTGACAATAATTTTGACTTCGTTAGTGCATTAAACTTTTGATAAGGGGATTCGATTGGAGAATGCATTATAGGTAATTGTAATAGAAACTGATCACAGTTTGCATACATCAAAAAAAAATCTTTTCATAAATTTGTATATGCAGGGACACAGTTATGTTACAATTAGTTGTTTCTCATGCAAAAACTCTACAATTGGATTCATAGTCGATTATTGTTTTGGTGCACTCTTGACTTAAATTAGATAACATAGACACATTCTTAACATTCCAATGGGTAAAAAAAGTGTATATGTCCAAGAGACGATTTAAGAGCTGAAAAAGGACATATTCAAAATAGTTCGAATTCATCAACAGAAATAAGAGTTCAATTTCTTCGCTGTGTAATTTTAATTTCTATTGTAAATTTTGTGTGCATAATTTGTCTTTCAAAATGCCATCATCACTTATTTAATTATATGTTCTAAATTAAAGCTTGTCAAATGAACCTAACATTGGTCAAAGGAACAAAATTAAGCATCCACGTCTATTGTTTTCTGAGTGCAGTTCTGTAAATAAAGACCTTTACTTTCATATTTTAAAACAGCAAATTCAACATAATAAAAATAAATTATATAAATTGACAATACCTTTGGATTCCGTTTATTCCTTTTTTGCGTGTGTCATCTCCATCGATCAGTAACATAGAAATAGAGTTTGAAAATTTATATTTGTTATGAAACTTGATCACAGACCAGCCGTTGATTTGTAACAACCAATCATTAACTGTTGATATTCCTACACGGACATGTTCTAAATTAAACAAGTTATAAGAAATTTTAACAAACGATAAAAAAAAAATCGACTTCGAATTATGGTGTCCTTTGAAATATCTTTATTGCTATTTTAAATGTTCTCTTCATTTGCATCATCGGGTCTTTTATCTTTTTAAAAGATTAACCATGAGATTGTTCTGAACAGGGTAAAAACAAAAACGTCAAAGTCCGAACTCCGAAGTCAGAGCACCGCAGAGAAAGTATATAATCTGCATTTTCCACCAGATTGCATATTTTTTATTGATTCGCATAATGTGTGAATTAGCTCTTATAAATGTTTTTATCAATTGTTTAGTACCACTACTTTGTCGACACTTCTGATTAGACATGTTCAAACAGTCGTCTACACAGACATTTACACCGATACCGATACCTACACCGACTACAAAAATAGAGGGTCCGTATCAAAATGTCAAAATAAACTGAATGAATGACCCCGTAGAACTTAGTTGCAGAGATAATAAAATATATTCTGTAATTTGTTTTATTCTTTAATCCGAATCGGAGCTAGAAACCCTGAATGTTTTACTTTTGTCAATATAAAGGAATTTTTTCCAAGATTAAAAAAACAATAAATAAAATTGTGACAAATTAAACTAAAAAGAAAGAATATATCAAAAGTTGTATTTGACAACGCGCAGCAACACCAGTGTTGAAATGTGAAGAGGGAGTTCTTCAAAGAATTTTTAAAAATTTTAAACCAAAGGATAAAAATTAGTTAAGGAACGTTTCATAAGAAATGAATTAGTTTTCTTGATGTAATCAGGGGTGTACGAAATTTTACAACGCATTTTCAACACCGGTATAAAATTCCGTATACCCCTAAATACACCAAGATAACTAATAATATCATCTATATATTTATACGTAATGTTTTACGCTATAAAATGCTTTACACGTTCCTTCCTGTCTGCTTCTGTTTAAAGTTTTATTTATTTACATAAAGCCCCCCCCCCCTTTTTTCTTTTTTACGAAGTACAATATTTAGACCGGTCAATTCACAGCTACTTAACAGAGTCAATTAAGTAGCAAATCATTTAAAAAAAATGTTTTATACAGTATCTGATATGTAAATTAGAAAGAATGCAATATAAATGCTTGTGGTCGTTGTACACATTGAAATGACCCCTTTTCAAAAAGGTTACCTCGCGTCATAGGCATAGGTGTAAGCGTCGGTATCAAATAGTTTTTTAAAAATGTCTATTAGCGTCTCGCTCAACGGTAGTCATTCAGCCAGTGGCTTGTACTTTGGTTTTGATATGATTTACTTTTGGAAATGCATACTTGTAGATAAAACTAAGATTCAACTCATTCTTATAGATTACCGTAAATCGATTTGACTGTTCTATGTTCTAATAAAGTTTTGTTTTCTATGGATGTTTGGTGAATTATTTACCAACATGTTATGCAAAATCATCAGTGTTTTATCAACTTAGATATCCGATATTGACTCTAAAAGTAAACGAATATCAATACACAATGATAGAGAAATGGCCATATCTTCTCACAATTTTATGTTATGCTTAATTCTTACTTGGACTATTGGTCCTAGATATATGTTACGTTTTATGTTCATCAAGTTGATTCCCCTTGTGTTACTGTGGAAAATTTGTGTTATTCAACATTTCAGTGACTTTCTTAAATATACATCAACACTTATTGCTTATGTACAAATGTACAATAAGATGGTTTTATCGCTTAGTGAAATTCAAAATGTGGGTAAATAATATAATTTGTATCCTGTGTATGATCTATTTATAACTTACGGCTAAAAACATCCCTTTTAGTTTAATCATCTATCTGATTCAAACTAAGGACTAAAATGAATAAACTTAACCCTCATAGAAAAAGTTATCATTCAAAAGAAAGCAATGATCGAAAGAAAAACGCATCAATACATCCGAGTATAGAAAACTAGCAGAGTTAATAGTCTTTTGCCTTTATCGTTTTTATTTGAAAAGATTCGACCTGGATGTACAATGATACAAGTTTATACTAACAGGTGGCTTTAATTCAGTTAAATAGTAGGTATATCTTGCTCGACATAAGATAAGATAAGATAAGATAAGATCATTTTATTGGTTCAAAATCCAAAATTATAGGATTTTTACCAAGACAATACATAAACATACAAACAAAATCTGACCACATTATAAACATTATATATATATATCTGTATATCCCCTCCATTATTAAAAAAAATATTGTTACAATAATAAATGAATGTATATAATCTCTGCCGAGTAGGTGGTACCACAAAGTTATTAAGTACTCAATAAAGCATTTCTAGAATTATACATGGTGCTTATGAATTTTACAATGATTTTAATTATATCAGTCTCACCACAGGTATACAAAAATTTAAATCTTGCTTCATTAGTCATATTTAAAAAAGGGGGAACTATTTCACTAATTTTGGAAAATAATTGTTCTCTAATTGTATTTAGTTTTGTACATATTATAGTGAAATGAAATTCATCTTCTACTTCTAAAAGACACAAGGGACAAATTCTTTCTTCTACAGGTGTTTTAGTGTGTCGTCGTCCTTGTTCAATTTTAAGAACACTATTACTTATGGGAATTTTGGCAAAATGCCCTATTACTTTTCTGTCAATATTTAACAATAAATAGGTTTCCAATTTGTAATTTTCTTAAAGCTGCCTATATATTCTGAGCTTATTACCATGCAATGATTTATCATCACAAAATATATTTTCTTTCCAATAATTCAGATATCTATCATTAAGTTTGGTTGAAGTGCATATAATAAACGCCTTTTTGAAATAGTATCATGATTTTCCCAAACATGTGAAAAATTTAATGTAGCAAGTAGCTGTTCAATCTTTTTCGCAAATCCATTGGTTAATTGCAGGTTTGAACTATATACATCTTTAAGTAAACAATTATTATCAGATTTTATCACATGCAACGTGAAGCCAATTGACAGTTTTATTGCTTCTATAAAAACTGGATACATACCAAGTTCAGCTAGTACTGCTAAATTGACAGCTGTTTTATTTACTCCAATTAAAGTTTATGCAAATTTAATCTGAATTTTATTGGTAGCCAATGACCAATATTTTGACTCTAGATTTGTAATATCTTAAATCATATATAGAGACCAAACTTCACTACAATAAAGAAGTATAGGTTTAACACAAGCATCAAAAAACTTGAGGTGAGGTTAAACATTAATATCTTCAGAAAACAACAGTTTTCTAATACAAAATATAGCTATTGAGGCCTTTTTACAAAGAAGTCTCACTGCCTCAGTAAAACTACCAGAGGGTTTAAACAGTATAACCAAATATTTATATTCTGTACAGTGTTCCAAAACATTATCATTAAATACAAACTTGTCTTTTGTAAGTTTTTTACCAGATTTGTTAAAAATCACAATTTTGGTTTGGTCAAGATTTACTGTTAAATCCCAACTAGTGCAATATAAACTTAGCTTATCAAGGCATTTGTGTAGGCCATTAGCAGTTTCAGATATAAGAACTAAATCATCAGCATATAACAAACATGAAATATCATTATCATCTAACTTGGGCGGATCACATGTGGAGTCAAAAATAGGGGGTAAATCATTAATATATAAAGAAAATAATGTGGGACTTAAAATACACCCTTGTTTTACCCCAACTGTGGAATTAAAAAAAAATCAGTGACACCTTCAGAGATCTTCACGGAGTACAAAACCTCTTTATACATATCTCTCATTATACCGAAAAAGAGGCCATAAATGTTGTAATAAGACAATTTATAAAAAAGAGCCTCCCTGTTAATAGTATCAAATGCCTTCCTGAAATCTATAAAACAGGCATATATCTTTTTTGATGATTTAAATGCCTAATCAATAATAGTTTTAAGAGTCAAAACATGATCACTTGTTCGACTTCCCTTTCTAAATCCAATTTGCTCACGACAAATAATTGTATTTCCTTCGAGATATTTTTCTAATCTACTATATAAAACTTTAAGAAAGAATTTTCCTAAACAACTTGAAAGGGCTATACCTCGATAATTAGATGGATCATTTAAAACACCCACCCTTAAAAATGGGCTTAATAAAATTTTCTCGCCATAAGTTGGGACATATGACATCTGGATTATCTGGTTTTGAGTTATCATTTAGGGAAGATGGAAATATCGAGAATACGATAAACATTAGAGATCACTGATTATTTGTGGCTTTAACATTTAACAAATGTCAGATGATTGGAGAACGTTTGTTTGTTTGTTATTATCTTCAACGTTTATAGAAAAGGGTGAGCAGTATTCAGGTCAATAGCGGTCTATACACTGAGGATACGAAAAAGAGAACTATGAAATAATTCCAACTATCTTAACATACATCTTAATTTGGACATAATTATTCAAATTGCATTAGCAAAATGTCTTTTTGATAGCGTAACATCTCTTTTTATCTTAAATATGCTGATTTAGATATTCGATAAGTTTATTATCATGATTCCACAAAGCAACAATATAATTTGATTATACATGGCATACGTTTGAAAGCACATTTTTCTAAATACACAAAGACACAAAAGAAGACATATATAGCTATCGCTGCCGTGGTGTGACCGGTACAATATACCGATGTTTTATCTTAATATTAAACAACAATAGAATTAATTCTTAAAAATTAATAAGACACAATACATTTGCAAATATAATTTGCTGCGTTCATGACCAATTGACTTTACATAATAATAAATATTCTTGTTATTTCTGACGATATCTACGCTTCTTGACAAGCCTTAAAAACTCGGGATTGTCTCATCACTTCAAAAACTTATCATAATCTTTGTGCTGCTGCGCTACGAATTTTAGATTTGTCCGATGTCTTGCTCGATATTGCGTCATTAATCTTCCTTAATCCAATATTTTTTCAATCAAATAGT